TACCTTGTCAAACAAGTGATCAGTTTCCATCCCGTAGATCGATGATCCCACCTGATATGGATGGAAGATATGAGATAGATGGTATAGTGGCTGAAGATATCTACAGAACTGGAGGTAGGGGTCGTCCGCAGAAACAATACAAGGTTCATTTTAGTTATCAGGAACCGGAAGACGACCGCTGGTTTACAAGATCTGAACTTCTAGAGACAGCTCCTGATATAGTCCAGGCTTACGAAAGACAGCAGAAAGGTAAAGGTCCTGCCTTGGACCGAAATTTTCTCGGAGGACCTCGAATTTAGGCCGGCGGGAGTGAARCGGTATTCACCAGTTCGCGGTAGCGAATGCAGATCCCAGGGCTCGATCCCTAGATCCCCGTCTTACCTGTGTACAGTATCAGTGTCAACCCGTAGRCTTGAACCTGCGACCTGTAGGAACRCCAGTGGTWGGCAATTTGTCGTAGGTCACAGGGTAGAAGGGAATCGAACTGTAGACCTATAGATTAGGAGTCTAGACAGTTCCGAAGTGGTAGCTGTAGGCTGCTTGAGGAGTCAAGGTCRTAGCTGCTACTTACCTGAAAGGGCAAAGTTGTAGCTGCTACAGGACCGAAGGGCCAACGTAGAGGTTTCTAGAACTGGCCTTTCGGAGTTGGCCTGTGTTCAGCAGAGGCAAGTGGTCAAGTGGTGGTAGTCCACCTAGCCCAGTCAGCAGTCCCAGGTAGCCCAGTCCGGTCCAGTCAAGCAAGTACCGTCTGGGACTGTGCACATCGTGGGCCAAGGGATACAGGGCAGACCAACGCAGCGCAGAAGTATAAATCAAGAGGCTGCGTCCAGCCATTCATTCATTCAGGCGGAAGCCATGCGGTAGCGCTGCCACAGCGTCTAGTGCAAGGAGGTCTGCTGGAAGCCCGAAGACGAAGGGGGAAAGAGTGAAGCACTGTAGTCATAGCGATAGGTAGCGGCAGCCATAGCTGCCATAGCTCAGTGTAGAGTGCAGAGTGTGTGTACTSTGTGTGTGTGTTGGGTATGAACACTAAGTGTGCGTGTGGGACATCCAGGGTGATCTCGAGTGTGAACAGTGAGTTGTATGGGCGCACAGTCGCCATAGCCAGTTGGAAGAGAACTCATATCTGGTTACGATATCTTTGAGTACTGTGTGGGCGCATGTCGCCAGTTTGCTGTATCGCTGTTTGCAAGCATGATGAAGTGTGAATAAACCGAGTATGATTGCAATGAGCCCACTCGGAAAAGTGAAGGACGTGCAGTCTGGAGACAGTTGGCAAGGTGTTCTGAAGGAAACTTGGACCACTGACAATTACAATGAAGACATAGTAACATACCCTCCCATGTTTCCCTCCTCCTCCCCCTACTCCTCATTGCCGTCCTCCTCCTCCTTCTCCCCCTCCCTTGTGAGTCTTCTTCTTCTTGCAAATCCTGTCTCAATCACACTTAACAGCATTGCTAGATAAATTTAGTCTAGTGGTTTGTGCCCATGCTTCCCTTGGTGGTATCTTGGATCCTCTCCTTTCTCCTTTAATAGTAGGTTCTGTTGCCAAGTGGCGAACTCTCGTCCACCTTCCTTCCTCCTCTGTTAAAATGTGTGTGTGTGTGTGTGTGTGTGTGTGTGTGTGTGTGTGTGTGTGTGTGTGTGTGTGTGTGTGTGTGTGTGTGTGTGTGTG